TCGGCAATTTGGGGATGTTCATTGGTTCATCGAACACACCAGTCGTGACGAAATCATGCATATTCAACCAATGATCCATAACAAAAATTCTTCCTGTATGTAGGAACTATAAGAGGCATTGATCCGCGTAACAGTCAGTGTTTATTTTCAAGAATACAACTTTTGTCAGCAAAATATAACTTTTGGGATTAAAGAATACAGTTTTTGAACTCCGGGTTGGCAGGTCTGCAATGACCCCGAATATCCACAGATCTTCAAAACATGAAGAGGTCCCACTTTGTACATTTTGAAATAATCACTCCTACAGCGATGGAGGTGCTACATAAATAGCCTTTGTTTCTCCTTTTCAAAGAATACGTCCACCTGTGTATCATGGAGTGCACCCGCCCCCCCCCCCCCCCCCCACTCAGTGTTATTTAGGTTACGCATATGCTCGTACCCTCTTTTTGAAAGCACCCCCTATCTGAGGACTGCCAACATTTTCGAACCCCCCTTTCGCGGGCTTTTCCTGCCTTGGAGACCCCCCTAAATCAGGAAAAATGCTCAATGTACCCCCCTAATTTCGGAATAATTTCTCAGGAGTCCAAAGAGATGAGAGAAAAAAAGAAAAACACCCCCTTTTTAAAGAAATCTCTGGGTGAAAATTCAAATACACCCCTTTTTTACAATTCTCGGGCCGGATTTTGTCGCACGAAAAGTACCCCTTTACCGGACATTTTGGCAACACGCATGCGGTCATTCCGACCTCTGAGTGGGGGGGGGGGGGGGGGGCCGGGGGAGTGCATAGTTACATAAATAATGATTACATAACTTTCATGAGCATGTATCCAGTATTTCGTCTCCGTATATTTCACAATTTGTTCTGCAATGACCTTTATCTGCTCATGCTCAGACTGCAACCGTGCTGCTGTAATGGTTATTTTGTTCATTTCATTGTATTTTTTCTTTCGTGAAAACAATTAGATTTATTTAATGAAAGATTCAAGCATACCTGATTATAATCTATTGTAAAGTTTCTCCTAACGACGCACAATGAAAGGATTTTCTTGGTGTTTTCTTTTTGGGATAAGACACGAATAGACCATAATGTCATCTATCTCAAGTTCAGTAATACCGGATCGTGTGATCTAATCTCAATTGGTTTAAGGGATATTCGGTCAACTCGGCTGCACAGTAGAGACTGATGCCGAGGATATAGCTTGGTATTTAACATAATTGAAATGCTCAAGAAAAATTGAAACCCTTTCCTTTTCCTCTTTCTTTTTTGTTTACAGTTAAAAAGGATCTGAGAAGTGAGCTCTAACTGATCTGACAGAAGAGCCTGCAGAAGTCTTGATTGGGCCTTTCTTCTTTTTCTTCTTGATTTATTTTCTTCTTCTGTTTTCTTTCTATTTCTTCTCTTTTTCCTTTCTCTTATGTTCCTTCTCCAACATCATCTTTGTCCCCTTCTTCCCCTTCTTCTTCTTCTTCTTCTTCTTCTTCTTCTTCTTCTGTTTTCCTTCTATATCTTCTTTTTATTCCGATTTTTCATTTTTCTCTTTTCTTCCTTCTCCAACATCATCTTTTCCGCTTCTTCTTCCTCTTATTCTTCTTCTTCTTCCTCTTCTTCTTCTTCGTCTTCTTCTTCTTCTTCTTCTTCTTCTTCTTCTTCTTCTTCTTCTTCTCCTTCGTCTTCTTCTTCTTCTTCTATTATTTTTCTTCCTTTTCTTTTTCTTCTTCTTTCTATTTTCTTTCTTCTCTAGCATAATCTTCTTCTTCTTCTTCTTCTTCTTCTTCGTCTTCTTCTTCTTTTCATCATCATCATCATCATCAAACAAAAGAAAACAGAATAGACGGTTCCAAAATGTTCTCGCGTTTTTAAATAACCAGATTTGGGTACGTTTTTTTATTGCACCTTTTACCAATCTGGTGGATGTAATAATGAATGCAACGTTTTTAATACTAGCGTATGTTACATGTTGATTTGTTACATCCTGATTCCTGATTATATAAATTAATTAGTCTAAACCACTTATTATGTGTCTTTGCATGTGATCTATTGTACCACTGCTTTCGTCGATTTTGAAAAAAAAGTCCATTCCATATAGCTTATGTTATTTTGCGTGTGTAGAAAGGCTACTATGAAATCAATGTTATACTTTACGCCTTGACCAATATGAAGTATCTTCCATCCAATATTTTCAAATCTATGTCAATTTTGGTTTGGATAAACGGAATAATGATTATGAAACTACTGGTTGAATGAATCGCAAGTCCTATTTAAAAATAAAAAATTCAAATTCAAATTCAAATTTATTCATGTTTCCAACAAAACATTACAAATCAATTATAAGCATTTAAAACAAATTTAAGAAATACATGTTGGAAACAGAGGGGTCCACTAAAAAGCAATGCTTGTACAAGTGTAAACACCTCAAATGAAACTTAGGAATAATGACAATAACAGTATTCACTGTAAACATTTACAGCTATTAATTGCATGCAATAAGTTGTGGATGAAAATTATCTGCGTCATGTAATTAATTACATTTACCTTTGGTATAATGATAGTAATTATGTAATTGTGTGATCCAGATACCTCACATACACTAATCATGTTTAGCTTCATAGAAAACATTACAATTATTTTGTTTTGCTTATCTTGTATAACTTTTTAATAATATTTTATATATAGTATCGCTGCAAGTTATTCGCGTTAGCATTTAAATCCACGCTTATTAAAGCTGTTAGATATGACAAATATAACCATAATAATATCGTGATGACTAGTTGATGTGATATTATAGCTTGTTTTAGTACCGAATCTAATGAATGTGTAAGCGCTGTATCATTTGAGTAAAATATGGTTTTAAAACGGTTGTAATTTTTGTTTGTGTTAAATCAAACTCTTTGAAAAAAATAAAAAAATCTATGATTGTATCTAAAATGAAGTAACAGATAAGGAAAACATGGCTAGTATTTCAATCTGACCCCCCCCCCCCTCTTTTTTTTTTTTTTGGGGGGGGGGAATATTATGTAGACTAAACGTTTGTTTTGCTTAATCTTCATTTTCTAAAAGTTTTATTACATGAGCAAATATAATATTAGTTTTTTTTTAAGGCAAACTCTTTCTCATTTTAGGATACAAAATAAAGATTAATATCAAGCTTATGTCACGACTCTGACCAGTCTTTGTGTTCAAATTAGTTTTCTTCCCCTTTTCTTCCCAGTGAAAAGGGTGAAAAAGGGGTAGAGAATGAGAGCTTAGAAGTTATCAGCGTTTAGTAATAATGTCTTCACTTCTTTTGGGTCATAGGCCTACTATCAGATCCATGCACTATACCCTCTCTGGCATCCAATTAAAACAAGTTGGAAAAGGAGGAGGAGGAGGAGGAGGAGGAGGAAGAGGAGGAGGAGGAGAGAGAGAGAGAGAGAGAGAGAAATAAATAATAATAATAATAATATAGAGTGACCAATGTGTTCGAGGCGCATGGTAAAGAAAAACTACAATACACGAAAATACACACAAAAATGAACAACAACAATGTGAAAGTAAATCTAAATCTGTACTGGAAAGCTGCTTTGAACAAATGAGAAGGAGGGAGAGTGAGAGAGAAAGAGAGAGAAACGAATGAAAGAGAGAGAAAGAGAAAATCAGATGAAAAAAAACATACAAAGAAAATGACAAAAATCCCTATAAACTCTCGTTATGTAGCCATGCATCTATTTTTTGAGATTTGTTTTGGAAAAAAGCTCAGTCCATAATTACCCAACAAGGCATTCGTGAGAATTTCATTTACCTTTCTTGCGGACCCTCTTAGCTCAAAAAACCTTTACATAATTATGAAGGCCCAAAGTTATGGAATTTTTTAAGTAATGAAGTTATTAAAAAAAAAGCTCCCTCAATTAATATTTTAAGTTGAACAAAATTAAAAATTGTATTTGTTACAATTTTAAAAACCTTATTGAATTATATCGCCCATTTATTCTTCCCCCGTCCTAATGCATTCATGTTTTTCTTTCTTTGTTTTTTAAACTTTTTCCCTTTTTTCTACTTCTTTGAAACAAGGTCATCTTTTAAATCGCTGACTCAAATGTAATGTGATTCATTATATTGTGCCCTTTCATCTCCTTTCTAATGCGCAATTCTCTTTCCCCATGATCTTCTTCTCAACCCCACATGCAGCTCATCTTTTTGTAATATTTTCTGTATACCCCCGATCTCTCACTCTTTTTTTGGCCTGGTCTACTTTCTGTTTTGTGACCGTGTTCTCCTATCTTTATCATGTAAAGTATTTTCTTGTCCCGTTTCCGTTTTTGTTGACCTCCTCTCTTTTTTCTATTTCTAGTTCCTTTACGAATTTGTTAATTAATTACTCATTATTCCTAACTATTATTTGAGGGGTCTACAGTTGTATAAGCATTGCTTTTTAGTGGACCGCTCTGTTTCCAATATGTATTCCTTAATTTTTGTAAATGATTATAATTGATTTGTAATATTTTGTTGGAAACGGAAATTCAATCGAAATTGAAATTGAAATATTTAGGGCTTGTTAAAGAAAAGGAAAAAAAAAAATCTAAATTCTGTGACAAATTTGCTCTTAGCCAATCATGATTTCAGCTTATAACAGTGTAACTTTTTATTGATAACAACTTTTTGTAGGGAACGGAGCCCAGATGATTGATTGATTGATTTTTATTCGACAAGCTTCAAACATACAACAATATACAATAATAACAGATCAAAAACAAGTCAGCTTGAACAGGATAACCCACGAAAGCTCGAGAGCTTATTTCCAGTGGGGTCCCTTAAACATGTAATAAAATGTACATGTAATAAAATGGATTTAGGGATACCGTAAAAGATAATTTCATAAAGATCATAGATTTTTAGAATTTTAGAATTTTAGAATTTATTATATATTTTTCAAGCAGAGTCGAGGCTCCATCCGCTATTTCCGAGTTATATAAAGGGACACTATTTCCGAGACACGTCGAGCGCCATCTCTTGTCAATTTGACATTGATCATTAATTCATTGATTATCATTAGGAAAAGAGGAAGGCCGTTTCGCCATTTGTCATTGAAAAGAAACGAAAACACTCCATTTATCTTGAAGGAAAGCTTTCCAAATTTTCAGGTCAGTATTTTATTAATGTATTCAACATTTGTTCGCATTTTCTGTCCTGATTCAGTTGAGATTTTAGTCCTGAAGCCATATGTTTGGGATGCATTTACGTCTGCTTCGAGTTGTACGGAGCCTGTCGTGTGAGTTGAATAGCCAATCGCCCGCAACGTTCCCGAGCCGTGACCCGTGGGTTACATGAATGGGTAATGAAGAATGGCCGTCGTATAATTTTTTTGACAGCTAAGGTTTATAGTTCGAGGAACGGCTGTTTTCCGTTTGTTATTAATGTATTTTGGATGCCTTTGATGACTAGATTAAGTATGTGTCGGTCTAGTTTCAATCCAGTCTAACAAAACCAAGTAATTTGTCCCCAAATGGCGATAAGCTTCAAGTTGTTTATCGTTTTTGTGTCGTGCTTTGTGCTTGTCATTGCAATTAATTTAATGTGATGCAGATCTAGACTAGACTGTTGTAGAACTTAGAAGTGGTGAAGAGAAGTGTGGGTCATGTGTTGAGAAGGGAAGATGACGAACTTGTGAATAGAATGGGGGATTTGAGATTGGATTGCATGATTATTAAAGAGGGAAAGGAAGACCAAAGATTTTATGGAAAGATGAAGAAAGAAAGCAAGATAAGTGTAAATGAGGAGGATGCTTTAGAGTAGACAAGAAGAAGTTGACAGAGGATGTGTAATCATAGTGCAAAAGTCAGTAACCCATCATAAGAGGGAAAAAACTGACTTTAATGATGATGATGATAATGATGATGATTTACTCGTTGCGCCCTATGGTCGACTTGGGGAACACACAGTTGAATACAGGTACACTTGAATTTTGTCATACAGGTGTTTACATTGTATGTCCAGTGTGTATTGTATGGATCATATCATACATACATGTACTCCGAACAATGAAAGCAGTCTAGATTTCACTCTGTATCAAATAAACATTCTCTGTACATGTAGGTTTCCATGGTGAAAGAGTATTACAAAAATTTGGAGTGATTGAGACTGGGGAATTTGTGAGCACAACCCACTCCAGCAAAGCATAGAGAGTCAATGCTAATGCGTATGACCTCTAGCACTGCATGCTTGCTGTGAGGAAGGTACCTATACACAAACATACACACCACACAATATCGCATAGACTGCACACAGTCATGTCGATGCAGCTGTAAGCAAAGCTTGACACTAGACTTACAATTTTAATTTTTAAATTATTCTTTTTAACATCAGCAAGTTAAAAAAAATGTATTTTACTGCGATTTAGATGTCATCAATTGTCACTAAAGTACCGATTTTTAGTGAAATCAGTTGAATTTTGTACAGTGGTGTTTGAAATGTTGAGAATCAAAAACACAGCTTTTACTACACAGCCAGGATAGTGATGCTCCTATGTGTTAGCACAACACAGTAGTTGAAGGATTAATTTGGGACATCTGTAGTAACTTGTCGGGTGTCTATGTGCTGCTGGATTCCTGTTTCTATCAATCCCTTGAAATATGTTTTCTGGAGACATGTCTCAGAGATATTTACATGTATGAGCAATTCTTTAAAACAAATACACTAAATGTTTTACATGTAAGCCACAGTGAGTCCATTAATGATCTCTACTATATAATTATAAAAAAAAATCAAGGAAGTCTTGAGGAAAGTCTAGGGACAAACAAAAAATAATTTAAAAGTGTACATTAAATACTGAAACGATACAGAAAATCCTGGTGTTTTATGTACAATATGTATTTGATCTTTAAATTGTACCTTACAAGTATAACATTGTTCAACTGCATTGAACAATTTTTTTCTTCATGTCATGTCAAGACCAAAACATTCGATGATACCACAGTGTAGATAATATTACACATTTATATTGTTCTTGTTATAGTGTCTTCAAGAGAAAAATATAGTTGGAAATCTCAAATATTATTATGCATTCATTGGCCTAGAAATCATAATGTAGATTGTTCTTTTTTTCAAATTGATTGTGGTGGGTACATTTGTTGATGTAATATTTACTTTGCTCTTTGGAGATTAACAATTTAACATGTCTTTGAAAAATGTGCTTAATATCAGTTGGAACATCTTATGGATAATAGATAGGTTCTTGAGGTGTGTATTATTGTTTTGAAAATTATGTACTGTCCTTAACTCGTTATGTACATACTTCAGTCAAACCTGTCGACAGTGACCAACCAAGGGAAACATGAAAAGTGGTCTTTGAACACAGGTTCCTTTAGTGTATGTTTCAATGAGAAACCTTTTTCAAGGGAAACAACAAATGTGGTCTTTGCTGACAGGTGGTCACGAAAGCAGGTTTGACTGTATATGATTAGTGCTGACTCTTCCCACTGATGTGAGAAATCTGTGATGCTTGTCCCAAATCTATACATTCATGTACACCTGTACATGTACTGTAGATGCAGGGTACATTTTTACATACACATGTAGCTCCATGTACACTGTACAGGAAGTTCTACAAGAGTTGAATAATATATGCATGAAGGTGACCTTTGTCACCTAGTTATTTGATTTGAGTTGTTGACATCAGCAAAAAGTTTGATTATACACCCAAATAATATGAGGGAAAGAAAAATCAGCTTCATGGCCACAATTAGCAAATTAGCAACAACTACAGGTGAGAAAGGAATAACATTTCATGTAGGTTTTTTTTTTAGACTTTGCCATTTTATTATAATTATGGGAAAAGATTTCATGACTGTGAAAATGCTTACGGTAGACTGAAATCTATTAAATTTGTATCAAATTATATGAGTTGAAAATAAGTTGAAAATTTGATGGGAAGTAAAGTGGGTTGCAAGAATGACACTTTAAATTACGGTACATGTACTTTAGTGGTGAAGTGTGACGTCATCAAAAAATTATTTTTTGAATTTCTCAATTTTGTTTCTTTTTCCGAAAGAGCACTTATAATGTCTGGTTCATATTTCTTCATAACATTACGAACCAGAGCAGAATAACACTGAGTTCCTATAGAAATCTATTTATTCATATGGTCCTATCTCAGCCAATACTTAACATGTATATATTCAATTGGTTCTCGACATTTGGACATTGTTTTTCATGCTCTTTTGGAAAATGAAAAAGAAAAAAAATGAGAAATTCTAAAAATAGATTTTTATGATGTCACAGCTTCAGTACTCTGTAGAACTCTAGTTATGATGATATCTAATATGATTTGTTAGGGTTATTCAGGTGCATATTCATATTTAAAAAAAAATTGTTTGATCTTTTACTAATTATTTGATCATGTTCCATGAAATAAGATGTTTGATATACATGTACTGTACATGTATATATCAAAAAATTAATGTCAAAAAAAGTTTATCTAGTATTTCACTTTTTTAATCATGCATATATGTACTTTATATCGTCCTAAAATGCAACCAGTGTACAAAATCAAAAATTTGTAAATTGCAAAAATTCTGATTAAAAAAATAAATATATAATATATATTTATTTTTTTTTTTTTGGGGGGGGGGGGGGGGGAGAGGGGGAGGGTGTATTTGCTCTCTCCAATATAAGAGTGCGCACATCACATGTATATTCCAGTAGTTTAAATGAATCAATAATTATTTACCGGTACATGAAATGCTATGAAAATGGAACTGATTATTCTCTTTTAATTACATTTGTTTGTACATGTACATGTACTTACTGTACATAGGCTTTCGTTAATTGTCCAATCTAGCACTTGAGAGAAAAATGAAGTTGTAATCAGCACACAAAATAATGATTTAAAGCAATTTAGGTACAGTGTACTCATCAAAACTATCTAACAATACTGAACAGGGGTGACAAGTTTATACTGGTGATCGGTTTCGCAACAGGAAACGATGTGGAAATTGAAGGCTTAGCCCGCCCTCGGCTGATAATCCTGCGAGATTACATTGGTAACAAAAGAAGTCTGAAATACTGTCAAAACCTTCATCAATATATAAAATGGATGGGTAAATATAGCTTTTGAAGGAGTTTTAGACTGAAAAGTGATCTACATAATTATACACCTACATGTATGTAAATGAAAGATAGTTAAATGTACTTCATGGGTTGTTGTTGTTACAGTGTATGTTTGTTAATTATGTATTATTATTTTATGATGGTGGTGATGGTGGTGGTGGTGGTGGTGATGATAATGATGATGACGACGACGATGATGATGATGATTATGATGGTGATGATGGATGGTGATTGTGATAATGATGATAATTATAGCTGTTGTTGTGTTGTTACTATTGTTGTTGTTTGTGTTGTTATCATTGTTGTTGATACAACTGTTTTTCTGTTGTTTTCATGCCAGTTACCCAGTTATGACCTGTGTGGAGAGAGGCAACTACAGATAAAATACCTTGTGTAAAGACATGTCAGGTTTACATTAAAGCTTATCTGCCGTAGTTTATAGGAGGGATTAGACTGCCCTGCAAGGTCACTGGACAGGTGGTTATCTCATCAACTCAGCTCTCAGTTAACATAAGAAAAAGAGGATCATGGGGGACCAATGGTCACCGATTAGTCATTGTTTGTTATATAGAGGGTGCAAGTAGCTACAAGTAGTGCAGTGGGCCTTTAAATGTGCATGTCCACCATTCCCCTCCCCCACACAAGATTAAAAAATAATTGTAATATTTAAGATAATACTTGTTTTATTCATGAATAATTGTACCTTTTACATTCTACTTTACACATTTGTACATGTTTTCTGTATTATATTGTATTTTATTTGCACTGTAAAAACATTTACAATTCAGCTTGTGATTGCCAATCTATTTTAATAAACCTCGATTTTAATTGAATAAACCAAATCTTTACATGTTGTATGAAGCAGGGATGGAATACATGTACCAGTATGATGTATGACAGTCAGTATTATTCCCTTCATGAATATATATTTTAGACAGACCTGTTTCTAGGTAGACTACCCCCCCCCCCCCCCCCCAGCCCTGCATCATTACAACAACACAACTTAGAGACCCAACTAGAAATTGTAAATCAATTGAGCCAATTATCGGGCCCATTGATTTAATTAACAGAGAAGTGATCAACAGAATAACCAGACAGAGATGTGAAATGGCTGTATCACAGTAGTTTAACAAGAGAATCTTACCATATGGTTTCCAAGAGTACACACTCGAGTGTGATGCGTGTATTAACTGCGTGCTATCTCGTCGTCTTGGAGTGCGGTAGGAGAAAGGATGCAGCAATGTTGTCAAGTGCTTGGGCGTCGTGGGAGTTAGAGCCGTCTTGAATTCAGAGGGCAGTGTTTCTTAACTCTTACCGTGCCAAGTGGTCTTGCCTGTTTCATTTACAGTGTATACCAAAGAACATTTTGTTTTTGTTTTAAGGCTGAACAAAGTGCTTTAAAATTGCTTTACAGTACAGAGTAAAGAGAGAGAGAGAGAGACACACAGAGAGAAAAATGTTAGATAAAGAGCAAGATAGAGAAAGAAAGAGAGAGAGAAAAAGAAAGAGAAAGGGAAAAAAGAGACACAGAGAGAGTTAGAGAATATGTGGGGGGGGGGGGGTGGCTGGGTTAATGAAATGGTAGAGAAGAAAAGAGAACAGACACAGAAGACATGGAATGGAGAATTAAATAAAGACAAGAGAAAAACCATACTGAAGACTGAAGTGAGGAAAAAAATCAAACCTACATGCAAAGAGAAAAAGTAATACAATGAAGATGCAGGAAAAAAAAGGAAAGGAGAGAAACATGTTTAGTGCACATAGAGAGAGATGGAAGGTTGGGGGGGGGGGGGATGCATTTACCTGCATTTACCTAATGTTACATTAACATCTATGTACTTCAAGCTCAACCAAATGCCTGCCATGATGAATCCAATATTATTAAGTGCGTCACCAATCTCATGTTCAGCCGTGTGCCTTAATTTAGTTGATTTGCAGTTAAACCCAGACAAAATACTCAAGCCCTCTCCCCATCCTCTTCATTATAAGCTACTTTCGTTTGTGAGCTCATAGCATGTTCAGACTAATGGAAACTTTTACAAAACTTGTTTAAAGAAACGTTATGTAAAAATTAATTGTATAGTGAAAAGGGGTGTAAGAACATTTTTTAATTTTTTTTTTTTTAATTTTAAATTAATTTTTTTTTAAAGAAAAAAAACATGAAAAACACTGCTAAAATGGATCTATTTCTGATTTTAAAAAAAAAAATGCTGGCGGCTGTCTTGAAAAATAGCCTGACTGTAAGGGAAAATTTACCGAGCGGCCATTTTGAGCTGCCATTTTGAAAGAAAAAAAAAGGGCCTCCCTATTTTTCAAAAAGGCAGGACATTCAACATGTTTTTTTTTATTTGGCCTAAAGACTGGATAACAAGTTTGTATTAAAAAAAATTGTAAAAAGAAACTAGTGGTACAAGTTGTCATGACAGCAGGGCAATCATCAGTGCACGCTCTTGATAAGCTCCGCCCAGTTTTACGGTTTTCGTACAATGCTACGTTGAAAATTCAAATGAGAATAGGACCCTGATCCTTCATTGAGATTTCATTTGAAACGTTGCTTAAACCTGAGTTTCACCATACAGTGTTTCGTTATGCACAGTTTCTGTATAGAACATTTAGACTAGGTCAACTTAATTTATACTTTTTGTATGTCTGTACAGTTTTTGTTGTGTGAATGGGGGTCAGTGGCTGTCACTGATTTTAAGAAGAGATATTTGCATTGTCCTGAACTTGATAGACAGGGAGCTCATGTTTGTGATATTAGGAAAAGATAGCACTAATGCAAACACTTTGAGGGTCAAATGATTCTACATAGGCCTGTTTTCATCAGCTTGAGTTTGCCAAATACAGGCCTGATAAAAACCTGATTTAAATCGGTTTCCCGATTTTTTCCCAATTTTCTTTTTTTTTCTCTTCTTTTTTTCCCCGATTTTTCTTACTCAAAAGACTCACAAGGGGGAAAGTTGTTAGATGCCATTTTCCCCCCGAATCCTCTTTTTTTTTGGTTTTAATACTCAAGGGGGGCATGGTTGAAGGAAAACATTTAAAAATTTTTTTTAGTACTCATTATCACCCCTGCAAATAACCCGCTATTTTCAGACTCGGGGGGTATTATCCCGAAGCTCAAAATTGCGTCTTCACCAGACCAATACGTTCATCACAAAGTAGCTCGGGCGGGCTCAAATTAGCCGGATATTTTGGAAACGAGACCAATATTTTTCTGGATATTTTCTCCATCAAATATACCGCTAATTGCAACTGCGGGCTGATGAAAACGCAAATTAAGTGGTCAATTTGTGATCGGGATATTTAAAATACTTGGATAGTTAAAATAGTGGGTTATTTGGCAAACTTGTGCTGATGAAAACAGGCCTAATGTATATGCTGATCAGACACTATTGTGTGAAAAACAATGATTTTGTAGTGATATACTAAGAGATTAAAAGCAATGTTTATTAAAGACTACTCTACACAGCTGACATAGATTTTCCTCAAATGAGATGTTTACTATTTTGTAAATTTTCAAAGAAGGAAGGTTATAGTTACATGTACATGTATATGTGCAAGTATATGATTACAATGAGAAACACTTAATGGTTAGCATATATATACCCCAGGTACTTGTATACATGTGTATCTGCAATCTGCATAAGGTCTCAGCATTGCAAGTATTTTGGAAAGGAGTTTGCTCATTTGTTTGGTATAATGAGGTTTATTTTGAATTTTTTCTTCTTCATACGGTTTATCAAATCATCTATTGTTTGATTTGAGTATGGTATATTTTTCCAGATTTACAAAGCAGTTCAACATTTACACCAAATCTTTTATGAGGTGATATGGGAAGTATGAGAATGAAAGTGTCATTTATGAAACAGAGATTTAATTATTAACTTGAGTCACATGCATGAAGTTTTATGATAAGACAAACTTTTTAAAGAGTTACATGTAACAATCAGGAATTGAATTCCTATTTCCTTGTTGAAAAAAGAAATGTTTTTTTTGGTCTTTTTCCTGAACTTCCAGATATTAAAATAAAACTAATTTAATTAAAATCATTCACTTTTCACTAGAGATTATAAATTGTAATAAAGAGTTAACTGGTGTATTAACTTGACTTGCTTAATCAGTTTGATTTATCGCTTAATTAAATTGTGACTAAAAGAAAGTCAGTCTTGGTTGAGATATATATCTGAACCACCGTACATGTGCAACTGTAGGCATGCAATATAATAGTTCATGAATGAATTCTATTTTCTCTGCATGGTAAATTCCATTACGATAATAAAAAGAGAGCCATTAGATCCTGTGACATTGTGCCTCTGGCACCGGTCCACTTTCCTAGTTTCCTGAACACCCTGAATCCTCTTCCTGCATTCCGAAAGCTTGGCTTGTTTTCTGTTTGGATTAAAAACATGGTGTTATTTTTCTTCTTCCCCACACACAGGGCAAGCCGACGAAGTGAGAATCGGCTGACGTTTGAAAGTTGTTCCTGTCGTATGTAAACATGCCCCAGATCAACATGTGAGCGTCGTCCACCGGAGAGTGTGAACGGAAGACCAGAGGCTGCCTCGGGTGAAAGAGAATTAATCTTTTGTAGCCTGCGGAGTGGAAACCAGTCCAGCTTGTATGTGGAAGACGGAAACAAAAAGGAAAGCTTGGTTGGTTTAGGGAAATTTGGACATATCCTCCTCAAAATCCCCCCTCCCTCCATCTCACATTAATACCCTCCCCCCATCTCGCCTAGCCCTGCAGGTTTTTATCAATCTCCTGGAATGAAGCTGGAGTTTAAATCTGTACAACCTTGTTGGATTGATTGCGGTAGCTTGATTTAACTTCATCTCTGCCTCACTCTCTCTCTCTCTCTCCATCAAATGCCTCCCTAAAACGCTCCTCTATTTATGCATTCTCCGAGAAACCAGCCGTAACCATAGCAACCATTGAGGTAGAAGGGACGGTGGAGTTGCACAGCTGACGTATGCATCCTCGCTCTTCAACCATTTTTTTTCCATCCTCCTCCTCCCCCATCTCTGGGTATTCAGTCGGATGCTGCCCAGTGTAATGCAATTGGATGATCTTGAGCGTGAGATAGCAAGAGATTCGGGCGAGCAGTGCGAGGATTGCATAGGATTCTCGGGTCAGGGTGCGTGCAGAGCGACAGAGAGCGAGAGTGAGAGTGAGCGAGCGAGCGAAGAGGAGGCGGCGGCTCAGAACACTGATTTTCATTTGAGGGCATCAAGCCGAGCTGGGCAGGCAGACTGATGTGCATGGACGCAAAAAGACAACGGGGAATCCAATACTGGAACGTAACGACGACGAAAGCCTGCCCAGAGGATTCTCTTACACCTTGTGTACATAGACAACTAAATTTAATTTGAAACAGTGTGTGTGTTTTTGTGTGTACATTTGTCATCAAAGCAAGGAGAATACGTATTAAGACATTCCTGCTTTACGCGCCCGGGAATAAAGAGAAGATAAATTATTTTGAAACGAGAAGATTTTATTGCTGCCGTGATGTGACAAATGAAATGATATCCGAAACCATGGTGCTTAGAACTAAAGAACAGAGTAATTAGATGAGCAACGTGTATTCTTCCAAACGAAGCTATCAACAGGCAGGGAACAAGTAATTGACTATCCATACTCGGCAACGGCGGCAAGTACGGTTGTACACTAGGGAACTGTTGCAGCTGATTATCCACCTGTACATGTATCTATAGCAAGCCAGTTAGTCTCGGCTTTAAGGAGAGCAGATCATCTTTTTCTGTTTTTATAGACTTGAGATAAGAAACTCAAGATGTCTTCTGTGAAAGTAGCCGTCCGGGTGCGACCCTTCAACAGTCGGGAAGTGGCACGGGATGCCGCCTGCATCATTGCTATGACAGGAACAACTACAAGTAAGTCTATATCCATTCTTTTTAATAATAATAATAATAATAATAATTTCCCACTAAAATTTGTTCTCGCTTTTTAAAAGAAGTCACCTTTTTTCTGACATTTCCCCCTTTTCCCCCTTCTCATGGTTTTTCTCTTCTCGACCCACTCACTTTCTCTCTCTCTCTCTCTTTCCCTCTTTCCTATCTCTTCATCCTCCCTCTCCCTCTCTCTCTCTCCCCCTCTCTCTCGTTATATATTTCTCTTTGATATTTGCTTATCTGTCTCTGTGTCTCTTGCTGTTTCAGTCTGAATAGAGAAAAAGAAATGGAAAAAGAAATGAATGAAAAGGAGAAGACAAATGACAAAGTTAATGCCTTTTAATTCTTAGCAGAGAAGCCTGAAAGGGAAAGCTGATTGAAAATGAAAAGTGGAAAAAGAAGAAGAAAATAACTAGAAGAAGAAGAAGAGAGAGAGAGAGTGAGATAGAGAGAGAGACAGAGAGAGAGAGAAAGAGAGACAGACAGAGAGAAAGAGAGTGAGAGAGAGAGAGAGAGAGAAGAGTGTAATAGAGATTTAAGTTTGAACAGAGATTTAGGGATGATCAGCTCTTCATGTGCATGTAAATTTCATGTACCGGTAATGATTAATTCCGTAAATTATCTGCATGCTCTACTAATCGCCTTCATATGAACCTGCAGTCATGCATTTATAACAGCATAATTATGTTTATTTCTAGCTTTTGCATAAAATATGAGCCGCACAACTTTGGGCTTTGCACCTTTTACAAGATTAATAGCAAAAGGTAATTCACTCCCATTGCAATTTTTCATAACGATGTGCATACTGCAATCGTAAACACTATCAATTTCAATTGATTAATTAAGGTGACCAATTAGGAACAACCAAAGCATGATTCATCATTTGTCACTGATAGTTATAGTACTGCTACTGCTGTGGTAAAGTATTGTACGTGTACGTGTACAGTGTTCCATATGGCTTAATGGACCATTTTTTTCTGTCAAAAAATCAAACAATTCTCCCAGTCCTTTCTGACTGATTGCTCGCATGCAAAACTGACGACTCTTATATTCATATTCTTTATTTGCGTGACTAATGGGCATTTTTAGAATTTTCTGACCCGTAGTTTGTGCTAATGTCATTGGAGCCCTTGATTCAGCCATTTATTGCCTTGTTTGCCTGTATGACTCAGCCCCGCTATGGCAGTTTTCTGGTGCGGTGGATAAAAGTAGTCGTATCCATGTCATGTCAATTTAAGGAAAGTCTCCCTAAATGCAAAGCAATCTTATCTTACACGTACCATCAATGATTATAATTTAAAGCAAAACAAAGACTCCAAACCTTTGTTATTGTTTACATTTTAAAGCAAGTTTTGACTTCTTTAAAAGACATGTATACATGTACATAAATGTTAAAAAAAAGAATTGGCTAGGAATTTTGATTGCTACACTGTAGATGTTTAGTGCATGATTAACAATTTGCAAGAGATTAGTTTCAATTTCAACTATGGAATCAGAAATGAATTAAAAATTCTTGGGAAAATTTCACTGAATACTGTCAGAGGTCAAACTTGAAGGCTGTATATTTTTGTCAAATACAGGTCTACATACAGGAAATTATTTTATTTTCATTGGCCTTCTGTCAACCTGTGTCGGTTATTTTTCATTTCAAGTTCTTTATTCATTAAAAAAGTTCCAGATTGATTTTATTGGCTGAGTCTTGCTCTACAACTTTTAAGCAAGCACTGGGCACTCGTTTGGAGCCTAGATTGACAGTGTGGCATGAGCGCATTTTATACAGCACATTTCTAATAGCTTGTTTCTATGGTTTTGATTGGTCTATAGTGTAATCAGAGAGCTGAGATTTTTAAAAATCTCCTCATGACCTTAATAATAATAATAGCTCGTTCTTATATAGCGCTTTTCAGGACCGGAGGCCCTCACAATGCGCTTTACAGATAAGTATATTATTACCCAGGTCATTGGATTCAGGCTTACCCGCACACAATGTATGCACATTCTCCACTCCCTGGGGAGCATTCCAGCCAGGCGTCATTTTTACATGCGCACACTTGCTAATCTAACCACATTAGCTTACGCATCCTACCGGGTACGCATTTAACACCTGGGTGGAGAGTGACAAATGTAGATCAATGTCTTGCCAAAGGACATTAGTGCTGCGGCTCCCTGATACCAATACTAACATGATAGGGTCACAGGGATGTCTTTCTTTGTAGACTAAATGTGTATGTACAAACAGATGGATGGCAACTACCTCATTTTGGTTACTTTTGTATCAAATAGACACATACTTTTGAAAGTTTATTCATTGCAATGCTCTCTTTAATGCAATAGTGTGCATCTGCATTTACCAGAGTGGCGCAACGCTTTTAGGCCCCATTGTCGGCCAAACAACAAATTTTTCATCTGCTGCATGTACGTAACCCACATGTGTATAGGTAGCCTCCCCATGATCTTTCAATATGGAACTCTAGTAGCATGGGTCGAAGCTGAAGAAAGTAACCCGGTGTTTAACAATAGAAAGAATACAGAGTTTTGCAGACCGTTTCTTTCAGGTCCTGTTTTCATAGGGATTTAGAATTGTTGAAAGGAATTTTAAGGCAGATTTTCTCAGGGAAACACCACTATTTAAAGGCACACTGCCATACTTGTAGCTACTTGCTCCCTCTATATAGAAAACTTCCCCAATCGGTGCCTGTTGGTCCCCCATGATCCTCTTTTTCTTATGTTAAATGAGAGCTGAGTTAATGAGATAGCCACCTGTCACAGTGACCTCGATGGCTCGCTGTGTGGTCTAATCCCTTCTTGCCCAGTAGTGGTGACGGTCTTTAAAGCTGAACCAACATCTTAAACAATCCATGCCACATTGTGTATGCAAGCCCTTCTACTGTATGAATACATGATATTGATAAGAATAAAACAAAGTAAAAAAATAGCATCATTGCCGTTTTCTGTTGACCCCTCCCCTCCACCTGAATTATTAGCTTATCACAAGTTCTGCATCATTGCCATAGTTCTTGTTCCGTGACAATCTTTCTCTTCGATCATCCCCTTAATTTCTTCCATTATTTCTCAATTTATCTCCTTTTTTTATTCAAGTATTTTTCTAATGTACATGTACATGTACATCTGTATGTCATTAAATATTCAATGTGATTTGTGTTTTTTCCTTAAAATTTCTCCCCCATCCCAACTTCTATTTTGCACTTGTATAATGTACATCCTCATGATATTCTTATCTATCCATTTCTTGGATTCTTTCCTGTTCCTTGCTCTTCCCTTTATGTCTACTATTTTTCATTCTTCCTCATTTCCCCCCTCTCTTCCCCCCTCTCTTCCCCCCCTCTCTTCCCCCCTCTCTTCCTTCTCTCACATCCCCTTTCTTTTCTTTTTTCTACCTTCCCTTATACACTGCCTTTTCTGCCCCATCTCTCTCCTAATAGTTTGTACCTTCTTCACTTCCTTTCAATTTTAATTTTCTTTTTTCTTTTTTCTCTCTCCCTTTCTTTTTTCTGTTTCCCTCCTCCCTCCTTTCCTCTATATATTTTTCCTCCTTGCTTTAAAGGTACTATGTCCCATTTGCAGGCCCCCAAAATGAAAAAGTTCAATTCCAACTGCATTTGAAAGATAATACTTATTTAGAACTTCCCTAAAAAAGGTGGGGCTTGAAAATGTCTTCAAGTGGGAAAATAATGACTATTAGTTGTCAAATCGACTTTAGGGCTATAGAGCCCAAAAGTAATAGTCTTGATTTTCAGACAATTGTACCGAATGGTCATACGTTTTATGCTGCGCAAAGATTCAATCAGTTTAATCTTGGCCATCACAAGAAGTGGGTTATTGATGTAGACAAATGCTCATGTACCCTTTACAACTCTTGTCATGTACAGTATGTTATTACCAAAGAAGATAAAAAGCCAGTCAGTCACTCAATAGTGTCTGACAGTGAAGTCTCGCAAGTAAACGGGTTTCCTTGCATAATTTGAATATGAGGACACTGCTAACGTTTAAATTTCACAGATAGGACATACATGTACATGACATATTCATAATTCCTGCAAAGTTCTACAGAATTTGAGGTTGGCTGCAAAAGGGACACAGTACCTTTAATAGTTTATACCTTCTTCACTTCCTTTCTATTTCAATTTCCTTTTTGCTTTTTTATCTCGTTCCCTTTGTTTTTTTCTTTCCCCTCTTTTTAAGTCACTTTACCTTTTATGTTATCTTTCTTCTTTCCTCCTCTTTTTCTTTATCACTTACCCCCTTTCTCTTTCTATTTCTCTTTCGTTCTTTCTCCTTTCAAGCTCTCTTTCTCATTGTATTCTTTTCTCTCTGATCTTGCCCTCTCTTTCCTTTCCTCGCACTCTCCTTTTCCCCTCTCGTGCTTTTTATTCCTCATTCTTTTTTCCTCTTCCTGTTCTTTCTAATTCCCTCTTCTCCTATTGCTTCATCATTTTACTTTCTTACCATATTTCCCCCAAATTGCATTCATTCACTAATTTTTACTTCCTAATGAATCTCTATTTCTTGTATCCCCTTTCTAATCTTTCAGTCTGCCATTTGTCTTATATCCCTCCATCCACCATCCCTTTATCCATCCCTCCCTCCATCCATCCCTCCCTCCATCCATCCATCCATCCATCCATCCATCCATCCATCCATCCATCCATACATACATGTTCATCTATCCATCCATCCATCCAGAGTCCATCCATCCATCCATCCATCCCTTCCTCCCTCCCTCCCTCCCTCCCTCCATCCCTCCCTCCATCCCTCCATCCATCCATCCATCCATCCACCCATCCATCTATCCATCCACCCATCCATCTATCCATCCATCCATCCATCTATCAATCCCTCCATCCATCCATCCATCCATCCCTCCAACTATCTATCCATCCCTCCATCCATCCCTCCCTCCATCCATCCATCCATCCATCCATCCATCCATCCATCCATCCATCCACCCCTTCATCCCTCCA